TTTTCAAGAATGAAAAATTTAAAAACTAAAAAAAATAAATAAATAGGAGATGATAACAAAAATATATACAGAATACATTTTTATAATAAGACAGTTTGGAAAGAAGTATTTTATTTTACCTCATAACATTTAAATTTGCCTCCAAACATATCACTAACTTTCTTATCGAGAAATTATTTGTATAATCAAATCACAGAGTGCAGTAATTTATATACTTACATATATATGGCACTTGAATGTACTGGTTACTAAAGAGAAGGAGGTCAAACTTTGTCTATAAAAAGAACATCCACAAGGTACATATAAGAACAACCCTTCCTACTTGATTTTAAAGGACTCACATGATATTTTTATTTCTAACAACCTACCTCAAATTTACATATAAGTTACATGTCTAATATGTAATATTATATTAATTCTTAATTATATTCTATATGTTATTTGTTCAAATATTTTGCTAACTATGATAAATGTAAATGTATTGTAAATTATTTCAGTTTTTAATTAAACAAGAAATAAAATTTCTATATACATTTACAAATTTTGACATGGTAATATTATTCTTTTATCCTTTTTTAAAGATGATTTATCATAATTCTTACTTTATATTAAAAATGCACTGTATATGGAAATTTAGTTTTTAAATATTTAAAATCACCTCAGTTATTAAAAATAATGATATATAAATCATTTTTAAACATTTTCCTTGATATGACTTTCTTACGTTTTAATAAAAAAATATACATATCTACTGATCTGTTTATGGACAAAACTGAACTTACAATGTATTTTGAAAACTTTTTTTATTATTAAATGATTTAAACAAGATCCGAAAGTATTTTTTTAGTCTTAATTATGTTTAATGATTTGTAACTTAATTAAAGTAACTTATACTTTCACTAGAAAGACGAAATGCATAAAATGATATCTTATCTGACTTGACGTTTTATCAAAATGTTTCAACGTTCATTATAACATAGTGTATACTTTTACTTTAAATTTATCAACAATTTTATATGTAAATTATCATGTTGAAAAATCAATTTTGTTCCGAAAAAGTATAAATTGTATATTTACAACTTTTTAGGTTGATGTTCAACAGTGAAGTTAGGTGTATATTCAGTTTTAATGCAGTAGCGTCCTCTGCAAATTAGCTTTCTTTTAATAAATTTGCGCAATTTTTTTAATTATTGCATAGTACAATTATTTTCCATATTTTCTCGTAGATATTTATACTTATACGTACACCTATATGTACAATTATATGTATATTATTTAAAATGTTCAAAAGATAGACATTAATAAAAATATTTAACAGCTACAATAAAATTAAAAAATGTGGTATTTTTTAAAAGTTTTACATTTAATTTGAAACTGTGTGATTTTTACTTAAATCAATAACTAGTGTTAAAATAATAATCAACAAACATGTGTGTATTAATAATAAAATGATATTGGTATATATCGAAATTAAGTACAAAGATGTAAGTATTATGATAAATTTCAATCATATTGTAACAATAAAGATACATCACACCTTAAAAATTTCAAGGTGTACGTGAGTCTTCTTTGGATATGATATGACTCAATGTTGTTCACCTTGAATTTTGCGAAGGTTGTATAAATATCAATAAATGAACTCATCTGAACGTTCTTTGTTGTTTAAAGATAAAAAAAACAATATTTATGCTTGTTTTATAATTTAGAAATTATTCAAATAGCAGTTACTTTTTTTTAATGTATATCTTTTATTTACTTTTGAATTTGTGTTCTTTAATTT